CCAGTACTATTGAAAATACATGTAAAATCGATATACTAGTACACAAGTGCATACACAACATTCTCGGGGATGAAGCTACGTCATAGAACGTTCTACGTTGTTAAAACTATTGTACCATACGTTTCATAGGACACAGTCCCTCAACACCAGATGTTGAGGGAAGGTGCTTAGGGGCTCTATGCGAGTTGCTGTGGAACGTTATCCCAAAATGAAGTTTTCGGCCTTTGTTTTGACCTTTGTGGTGGTTGCCAGGCGGTTATTTTACAATTGTATTTTGCACTGTAACAACGTCCGGACAAGCAAACTAACAGTAGAGACATTAAGATGCGCATACGAGAACGGAACGAGAACGGGTACGTCACTGCTTTGTGCATGACCTCCGTCGTACGGCAGTTGTTTTGAACGTGATCAAGGTGACTGACTCGTAGTTGATTTCCGAGAGCTTTTCTCGCTGTCAATTTTGATTAATTTTTACTGACATTGATAACACGTTTTATATTAGAGTGATTTTGTATATTTATGATAAAATAAGAAATATTGGATGCATTTTAGCTGATATTTATATACTTTCTGAAAACGCATGACATTGTTCTGCTGAAAGAGGTCGGCAAACAGGCCTGGGACCTCAGCAGAGTGGATGGAAATAGCGAGAACTCTGTCAAATGTCTGGAAACTAACTACTAATTCAGATTCCGGACGTTAAATGACATAAATTTTATTGGATAGTTATAGTTGCCCAATGAGAGACGGATTTACATGGTTCTGGTTTCAATTACGTTCCCGTTGTGGGCGCTTGTACTTAATCGTTTTCTGACACCCGTGAACGTAACGCAAACGAAATTAGAACAACACGTTACGTTCCCGTTACGTACGCAAATCGTAAACTCTTTAATCTCCAATAAGGCCACACGACGTAGCGCCCTCATAGCCTCGTACACAGTTATATAAAATAGCACCCGAGTTGACTAATACTACCTCTTATTACAACCTGACATATAGGCAGTATTACTTTTGTTTTCACGAGCTGTGGGTGCCAACCTGTTAAAACAACACCGCTAGCGTCTATTAAAGTTGAACTGTGTGATCGTTCCTATACCTTTAGTCTTGGGGTCATTACGTAAAAAAATACGAATGCGTGAATTGTCAGAAATATTCAAGGTTCGCCCGGATCGTGGCATTGTTTAGATCTGGTGCGGACATCTGTGAATATAAACATTTGAACTAATTATAACTATATAACTATGACAATAAAAATATTTCTCGATGTTTATTAAATATTTCACCTGTCAATGAATGGAATTAGCTCAATCAAATTATCGGTAAAGTATATAACACGATTATCCAAGCAGATCTTCCTGGCTTTCATTGCTTAAAGCGAAAGAAGCACTATATATTGAAAAAAAATGGGGAAAAAAGAGAAACACGATCCATATAAATAATGGCAAGAATGTAATTATTTCATTTTGAAACTTACGCGTTACCAACCCCAGCTTAGAGAGATAACTTACTGTGACACGAATGTATGTTTCAACTAGTAATACTATCTAATGTAACAGTTTTTTTTTTGTATTTAATGATTGGTTATTTGGGTTTTATACACAAATATATTATCAGTTGGACTAAACATCTATAAATGGTTTCAATGTTTTAGTTTCAAGGTCTCGAACACAAACAAGAAAACTGTCACAAAAAATACTAAATATACCCCACAGCACAACATTATATCAGTCAATCAGTCTAGAACTTTATTTCAGAGCTAATTTGTTTTTGTGCATTAAGCTATAATTTTCTGTAACATAATCGGTAGTTATGTTTACGTATTGACGAGCTAATATGTTAAACCATTTCCTGCACGCAATCCTTAACGAACGTGTATATTGTTTATATTGTTGTCCACACTCTTTGCCAGTTCCTTACTCGCAAGTGTTTTGCCTGTATGTGCTATCGAATGATAAATCAATAGCGTGGCAAACTATAGCCTCGTCTTCGACCACGTCTACTTTTTGATCGTCAGGAAGTCTGAAAATGCAGTACAACGTACCATTGCTGCTATACGTAACTTCACCAATCCTTTCGCATTGGCCGACAAGGACCATCTCTACAGCTTGGCCTCTGATTCTCCTGATTCTCCCTAGCTGTGAGTCCATAGCTCTTCTTGTGTCTGTCTTTAGTCTTTGTGATGGTATTTTAGTCATCTCTGATACGTTTTGTGTCATTAAATTTACTATTTTCAAACATCAGGATTTTTATCGACACCGAAGAGCTTTGGTTCCTCCCATAAACTTCGACACCAAATTTGCCGTCGCAAATAAAAATCGATAAATGTACACCATTTTCATATAGCACGCAACAGAAACTATCACCAATCAATAGTATGCTCATTAAACACTCGCCAGCGCGAAAACCATGAAAAAAGTATTTGTTTGAAGTTGTTTTTCCCGGTATTTAGCTCGATAAACCGTACGTAACTCTAGTGATAGTCATTTTCTTGAGGTCGAACGAGGACAAAATAATGTCACTGTATTGTAACTTCCTACGGAAAGTGGAACAGCTAAAACGCCAGGAAATGGTCGTCTGCTGCCACTAGTATTTTGCTATGTACTTCTGGTATTTACAGTTGTTGTCTATTTTCCCTGCATCCGACATGCATGGAAGAAAGTCCGGAGCAATAATTCCCGGAAAAAAAAACATATACAAAATATACAAATATCCAAAAAAAGGCCAAAACTAGGATTTTATTTTAATCAGATTGGTCATAGACAAATACACATATGTTTTGTGATTGGTCTTAACGGAATTTATTTTGCAAGTGTATCAAATATAATTCAAACTTAATAGTGAATTTATAAAATCTAAGCCATTCAAATGTATATTATAAGCATAAGGTATACAGCTATCCAATGTCACACACACAATAGCAATATTTTTTTTTTCGCTGCATTTGATAACAAATGATAATATCAGTATTTTTTTTATAGAGCATTGGAAATGGGATGACATATTATCGAGATGAGCTCATACATACACTGTTGGCCCAATTGAAGCTTGGTCAGCTGCACATACGACCTGCTGGTCTGAATTATAGGAATATTGGGAAAGCAAAAAATAGCATCAAACCTGTGGGCTTCAGAAAAGTAAATAAAACCACCGCAGCTCTTGGGTATTGCGTCTATTCTATTTATGCTCCAATTCACGATAATTGTCACCTGTTGGTCTTTTTTTTTTTTATTAATTGTCTGTGAGTCTGTTCGGTTAATGAACCAATAATGACAGCCCTGGGTTACCCTGTTAAATATAGTGACCGACCCTATGGGCATACACTGCAATATATGCATGGTCTTAACATATGTAGTGAACCTGAAATCATGTGTTGCGTTCTTTGTGTGGGAATTACCATTGGGTAGGCTTAGAGGTTATTTCTTTTACTTCTGTCGCGTCGTCCCAGTAAATCAAAAAGAGACGAAACTGTATTTTAGCTCCTGCTCCTTCGTTTCGTATTTCTTAACGAATTATTTAATTTTCAGAAAAAAACATAACAAGACTTGATTGTGTTTTTATAATTTCGGCCATCAACATGTCAAACAAAGAATCGATAACAATGCCCAACAATGTCGACAAGTTTTATACAGTGTATGGATTTATGTACCACTCCAGTACTTATTGTGGGTATTATATCGAATCCATAGGAATATAAACAGGCATAATTAACAGGTGGACGTCGATCATCAAGACCTTGAATGCGAAGGAGCAGCGACATCCGGCGTTACCGCGGAAGACAGTTACGTATAAATTCAATACACAAATTTAATCTGATAAGTTCCATGTATTAATTACATAAATTTATATAAAGAAATAAATTATTCAAATTAGACAAGAAAATGTTTGACAAGGTTAATCAAAATATTCTAAACATGAGACGGGGCATAACGTTCAAAGTAATTCCACATAATGTGAAAGAAATAAGAACAACAGGAGGGTCCACAAGACGTAGATCACTGTTAACAAAACAGAGAACTGGCCACCAGGTTGTGAAAACTATTTAATGCAAACTTAGAATCAGGTGAATTTTCACTATTCTAGATTCGAGACTTTATATTTTGTTAGAACAAATATGCAGTTAGTATTTTTCAAGTGTTTACATTTAGGCGGATAAAATGGGCTTCTAATCAGTACGATCAAACCACAACAGATTGAATTCAAAGCATCTGAAAATATCATATTCCCAAATTAAATTTCTCAAGTTTGTAATGTCCGAACTTTGAATACGATGTTTACACCACTGTAGGTGTGCGTCGGTTACATAAAGATTCTGGGGTAACTTAACCCAGTAATGAACCTTTCTTCCAGGAAACATCACAGCAATTCAAATGGAATATATATAAACATTATTTAAATGAGATCATTAAACATTCTAGTCCTGTGTAAGTCGAATCTTTGAACCTTAGATATTATACTCAAAGTTACTGAATAAGGGATTCCTGTCATCAACACACCAACAATTCTGTGAAGTCTAATTCGTCATAAACGTATACAGTAACTTAAAATTACGTCATAACGTTATTTTATACGAGGTGTTTACAGACACCATAGCTTATCATTGCATCATTGATACTAGTAGAACAACTATTAAAATATGATTGATTGATTGATTATTATTATAAAATTATAAAACCGTTTAATGTTGTGTGGTTTAACAAAACAATGAATATCGGCCATATTAAAGCCTCCCGTGATTTTGTATTTCGTTTTTTGGTCACAGGAGCTCACGGGCCGGCATGTTCAGTAAACGGGAATTCGTCACTTCATGTGTGTCGACCTGTAAGAGTTCGTAGGACATGTGGTGTTTTCCCATACAGAAAATATAGCTTCACGGGCGCCGTCCCATGTTCTAGGCCCCTGTAAGCGATACGTATACGGAACCTGTGGTCCATACCAACACGCCATAGCTAATCGCGGATCGTACATGAGCGTTTTCCAGAATGATGGATTAGCACCAATTTCCTCAGCCAATTCTTCTTGATAAGGAAGGGTACTTATCTGTAAAAAAAAAAACAACAACAAAATTCGCAAACATGTTTTCAGCTTCAAGTAATATTTGTTTTTTTTTGTGTGTTTTTTTCTGATTATAAAAACAAAACCAACTCAGAAAAAAATTCGTTATCTCTCTTTCTCTTTCCATAGAGGAATTGCTCTTACAATCACAGAACATCTTACACGGCTCTTATTGGACGCTGTTATTTATATTTGACCAGATCCATGAGTATTTTGCAACCACACAAACAAAATTATTTTTAAAGAGAATAACGTTATGGTGCAAAGAATAAACATTAGTAGAAAAAAAAGAGCTTGAAAATAAACATACGGAACGGTAGAATCTTCCATATTTTGGTTTCTTCTGGATACATGCACGCATTTGTTCTTTACTTGGTAGCTTGACACGCTTAACAAATACGTTGACGGCCCACCTTGCTTGAAGTTCAAAGGCTGGGAATGCAGCTCCACCTGGAGCAAACATCCCAATCAAAGCCATTCTGTCTGGTTCATCCACACCAATCGGACACACCAGTTTATAAAGCTGGAGATTATCTGACTCGTCTATTCATTGAATAGAGAAAATGATATCAAATATGTATCAGTGACACAGTTGTGACCATTGTATTTGAACACGAATTTTGTGAAAATACTCATCAATATATGGCATGTGACATTAAGAAAATAATAATAATTTGATAACTGGTAATCGGGGGAATCGATAAGGTTAAAGGGAAACTCAATCCAAACAACATAATGACCCCTAAAAAAAAGCTCCACAAATGTAGGAGAATGCAATTTACAGTTTTGTTGTATCACTTTTCATTCTCTAGATATTCCACTTTTCATCAGTATTACGTAGTCAGCCATCTTGATTTTCAAACAAAGGATTATGGGTAAAGTATGACATCATAGAATCTGTTGTCAGAAATTGAGAACACGAAAATCCGAAACAATTCGTATGATTAGGAAGGGAGAACTAATAGAAAACAGATTGTTACAATAACAGATGTACTAGTATATCATCTATGGAAATTAGTGTTATATGGAAATGGAGACACTCACCAAACACCCAAGTGTCTTTGAGAAACTGAAAAGTTATTTGATAACCAGTGGCAAAGACGACGGCACCTATATCATCCAGAATTCTCCCTTTTACAAGAGTTACACTGTTCTTCCCAAATTTTTCAATTCCGACCACAGGCTCCAGCTTTCCTTGTACGATGCGATCTTGTATGTCATCATTCACCATAAGTGACTTTATATTTACTATAGGTTCCGAACACTTGAAATATATTTTATTTAATGTAGTTATGTGAACTTTATGGTGATGCACATTATGTTAATAAAACTGATGAGATTATAGCAGAGTATTCAATTTTGGGGTCATGCAAATTACCTGCTTGTAGGGATTCCGAAATGAAACATAAAGTCAGTGTGTGGTTTTAGCTTAATTTAGAATATAATGTTCTTTGGGGCTAAATCCTGGTTCGATTTCTACGAACTTCAAGGATATTAATCAAAATATAAAAAAAAAGAAATGTGGCATAATAAAATGAATTTAGACTCGCTAGTCAGAAAGAAACTAGCTATCACTTGCCTGTAAACCTATTTTTGTGCGGTCTTGGATACGCCATTTTGCAATTTTGTCAAGAATCCTGTCTCTGTTCACTATTGATCTTGAACACAAGAGATCCCAAGGTGTGCACTGCACTCCAATGCGTGGAATCACCACGGTTCCATTACGCATACTTAAAAATACCTACGTGAGAATAATAACAAGAAGAAATGTATTAAGGCACCTCATTATACGAATAACTAGTTGGGCTTCATATTACTGCAGGTTTTGTTGATGAAAAATTGAACTAAGTTGTCTTGTGAGACTACGTGATTTCGATAAATTGTATTGAGTGCCTATTGTATCTAAATATTTTAAAAATCGAATCGCGCAATGCATTGGTTACTAATGTTATGCTTGGATAACCAGAGCGATATATTCTCAATGACCAGGGTTAGCAATGTATAATATAATATGAGGTTATTACAAGGATACCTCAAAGTATGCACGAAGACAGTACATCGGACGTATTGACCGACGCGCATGTGTGGCAGTCATGTTTGTTTTTATTATTAGAGGACGCTTAAGCGGATGAAAATACTCCATAAAATACCGCAAAATTACGGCACGCTGTAATTTATGGCGTTACAGTGACAGACGTATAATAATATAATATATAATAATATACGTATCTGATCTAGGAGGACTCCCATAACGTGAACAATTGGTGGACTATTTCTTAGAAAGTGACAAAAGTAGATGCTAACTTTAACAAGACACACACAACTAATTTATGCAAGTGCAATAGCATAATCGGTTCTCTAAACACAGGGCCATTGTAACAACATACGTTTACTTACGGGGTATACATACCTATGGAGAGTGTGATTTGTTATAACCATGGAAATACAAACCATGTTATATCTAAGTTAAGGCTAAATGTCTGCCCCCCCGATAAACAAATTGAACGTAGCGGTGGCTATGATGAACAGTGAGATTCGCGTGTAGTTTGTTGTTTGTTATGTAATATGGGATTGTCGTTAATCAATTCTAAAATTGTTCATCTGTCGTCGTTGTCATCGCGCCTTGATACGGAATAATATAAGTGTCACCATCGATACGACATATTACGTCACTGTTCGGACTGTGTGAACAAAACTATTTGTAATGCAAATACTGCCAGTGTCTATAGTCTGTGGCGAATGAACAAACACTGATATGACAGGGAAAGGTTTCAGTGATGAACCATGTTCACCCAGTAAAAAAACAACTCTTATTTTAAAAATCCATCGAGAAAAGCTTGAAATCTAAACACTATAGCCAAAATGTTTGTTTGTGCTTCGAATGCGATCGCATAATGGTCAGATTACTGAGATATAATAAAGTTTGTTGGTCTACTCATGGAACTATAAACCCATGGTCTACTAATCAGTAGGCAAATGAAATCCTTTGTTTACAGTCCGTCACGTAACTTGGTATATAAATGTATGGAAGACGTGTTCACCCATAGCTGGGTTCATGAAAATAAATTGAAATTATAAAAAACATAAAATGACCAGCTGTCGGCAATAAATAGGATAAAAACCCGGCGTGGGATTAATTCTTATAGATATTATACCTGTATAGACCCATTTCTAGCTAGTTCACAAGCAACTTCACCAGCGGTAGATGCAGCTCCTATTACACAAAACATAATTAATATTGAATTATACACGACCCAATATGTGTGTAATGGTTCTTGCTATTGAATCATAAACTGAGGCTCAAAAAAAAAACGCGTTCAGAGATTATATTCCCGCATAATTGTGACAAGACAAACTGAAAAATCAGAATACTTTCGTTTTCTTTATTATAAATTTATAACATGTATCGAGTACTCACCAACAACTACAACTCGCTTGTCTTTAAATTTACTTGAATCACGATACTCATTAGAATGCATCTTAATTCCATCAAAGGTCTCCAATCCAGGGTATGACGGGAAGTGTGGTTTACTAAACACACCCGTACACACCATCACATAATCAAATACTTCTTCGGTCTTTCCACCAGCGCCATTTGAAATTGTCACCGACCAACCACCATCGCTGTTCGCTTCTATCTTCATCACATCAGCATTAAATTTGATGTATTTTTTCAGAGCAAAATGATCAGCGTAACTGTGCAAGTACTCGTGTACTCTCAGACGCGACAGAAAAGGAGGCCACTCCTTCGGAAACGGAAAGTCGGAGAAGCAGGACATCTCTTTGCTGTGATTGGTCACTACCGAGTCATATGTGGCAGCTGCTTGGCCTTTGCGTAGCTGTTCTGTGTAGTACCAAATACCACCTATATGAAATATTACAAATATATTAATACCCAGTGCATTGAATACATATGCATGTTTCTTTATATATTATGCATACTTGTATGTAATATTTTTTGAATACATACTGGTTGGTCCATTTACGCGATTCGTACTCGGCCATCTTCTAAAGTGCTAAACCAATGCCAGTTTGAAACATATTTGTGTGGCAATTGTTGGGGAAATGGGCTCAGTCTGAATGTGTTCTATATATTATATCGATAGTTTCATGTTTCATCCATGATGTGTTTCTGTTTTAAAGTCACATACGAGAATTTACCTGTTTCTAGTTCTCATAACTTAATTCGGCACTGCACACAATACACTGCTTAAAATTATGTTCAAGGAACGGCCTTCCTGTTTACAAATCTACAAATCAGTGAGCTATTAAATTGAGATCGTAACTGTTTGGGCGCAATAGTAAAGTTATCGACCAATCAGATTCGTTGTTACAAACATGGCGTTCTTGTGAGAAGTCCCGGTCGGGTGAGCAGTATGCAATCATTGTAAACATTTAGCATTTCATTTATTCAGATGTGTTTCCAGCCAATGCTTTCATATTCCTCGAAAGTGTAGTAGGGAAAGTTTCAAGATATAACGCATAATTAGGCCTGTAACAACTGATGTATGTGCATACAAGGACGTCGAAATATGCGGTTTTGTATATTCCCTGTACCAGATAAAAGAAGCATTCTGATTGGTCGAACATTTCGTTATTTCAACTGTGGTGACGCAACTAACGTACACCACTTTCTTATAAGATACTTCAAAGTAATATGTGGAAGCAGTGAGCTTGAACTTTATACCTCGAAAACGAGGTGCAACGAGTGAATCGATTTTCTTCCAAAACATAATATGAAGGTTTACTGGCAAACCTGGTTTCAAAAAGCAAACAAATGAATAACTTTATACGATAAACTCATCTGGTAGTTATAATACATCTGGTAATTATAATAACTGGGACACAACTAAAACAGAAAAAGTGCATCTAAAGTTCATTAAACAACTACTTGGGCTTAATAAATACACAGCGAATAGTGCATGTCGGGGTGAAATTGGAGCATTTCCATTGATAACTGAAGTGAAAATCAATATAATTAAGTTCTGGTCCCGTGTCACAGACAAGTCACAAAATAATTATACAAAGATAGCGTTAAGCGATCAGACTTTGTCAAAAGCACAATGGGAAACATCAGTCAAAAATATCTTGAAAGTTGTAGACCTCTCTGAAACATCACAACTATCACATCAAAATATTAAGGAAATTAGCAGCACTATTAAACAACAATATATAACATACTGGAGAGAGAATATGACAAAAAAAAAAAAAAACTTAAAACATACATTAAATTTAAAATGAATTACAATCTGGAAAATTACATTAATGTTTTGGACAATAATCAAAGAATATCAATGACTAGACAAGTAGGACAGTAGGACAAGTAGTCACAATCTAGCCATTGAAAAAGGCAGACATACCAATCCAAAAACCCCATTAGAAAATAGAATTTGTAAACAATGCCCATTACAGGAAGTTGAAGACGAATCACACTTTCTTTTAGTTTGCCTACGATATCAAACAGATAGAAATGATTTTAATTCCAGTATTTTATTCCCCAAAGATTTCAATCTGCAAAAATTCACATATTTAATGAAAAGTAATGACAGAAATATAATAAAACTTTTAGGGGAATTTGTACATAAATCATTTATTTTAAGAAATGAGCTTTCTTTGGATATAACACATTGACTTAATGTATTGCCCAATACTTGCGCGAAATAGATCCTCTGAAATTGTAATATATCATGGTGACCTGAACCATATTTATTCTATTCGTCTATTGATTTTGTAACTATTGATACAGAGGGCCAAATATCTCATGGTGCTTTGGGTAGAATAACACGAATTGAAATCAAATTCAGCCCCTACTAAGTGTCGTGTAAAAACTGGTTTGATCTCCTAGGAGATGAAGCCACTTTTGACAGATCTTTTGACTAAAAACAAACATAGTGAACTTACTCTGGGCTGATTATAACAACAAATCAGTCAGCGTGTAAACACGAAGATTAAATACTTGTACCTCGAGGTTTGCGTTAATGTAACCATAACGTATATTTTTGTATGTTTTTATGCATTTTATCATCACCCCTCTCCAGGTTATATACTAAAAACTGGGTGAATTATAATGCGTTGAACTTGTTTGAAAAAATGATCGATTATATAGTGGCTGTTTCCCACTGATGTGCTTACTCACCAACGTTGAATCGCTTAGTTGCAATATCTCGCGAGATTTCCCGTGACCCGCGATTAGGATATATTGCGCAGTGGACAGTCTTGCAGTAAATTGTATTATATCGTATCTAGTTGTGTTCTTGATCTTCTTGTATCGCATTTTCATATGCTACTGGAAAGTGTGGTGCAATTTTTGAGGGTTGGCATGAAAAGGTGTCTTCACTCCAGTAGCGCTTTTGGCGCAGTATGCAGTTTATACAAGATCGAAATTGAAAAATAAAAATAGAAATGTGGGAGTAATTAAACGTGCATGCATTTACTTAAATAAAAAACCATAAATTCACTGTTGACTCACGTAAATTCATTCGAGTAAACAAATATTGAACCGGTGGTGTTTTACAGTCAGAATATTTTCAAAATGTCCTTCGTTCGATTAAACAACATATAATCGGAATTTAATTCAGCCCTGGGTTGAGTAAAAAGACATGACACTATGAACTTTCTTACCTTGAGCTCCCCATGGTAAGGCATTGAATTGATTTCAGTTATTTGCATAAACAACAGGGATGCCGGAACGTGGCCTTGAGCTTCATTAATCACGGTTTTAGTAACCGTGGTTTGAAGCAAAGTCATTGACATATCGCCATTCTAAATAACTGTAGTTACAAATACCCGTTTTCAAATTAATTTCCTCTAGTTACTATAAAACTAGTTACAGTTACACATATCTCGCCCGTACAATATCACTATATGTCGAGTTACGATAGAGAGTATTTCAAATATACAAGATCCGTGCATTGGAGGGATCGTTGCTCTGCTCCATACTCACCTATGTCATTGTGTCTCTCGAAACATACCGGTTCCAGACCTTCTTCAAAACAACTTTTTATTGATACCAATCCAGCTACTCCAGCACCAATAATTGCAACGCGTTTACCAGACATATTTAAAACACCAAGTGAATTCGGAATTAGGTGTTGCGTTCTATGTAAGGGTTAGACCATATGAAATCATAGGGTGGGGTTGGTGTTTTGTTTGTTTTTTGAAAATCCACCGTCTGGATTCAGCGTTTTTAAAGATCCTTCATTAAAGCACTGTGGGTTTGGCAAAAGATTACAAAATAAGATATTAATGAGTTCTATAAGATACCAAAATTTCATTTGGATACTGGCAATCGTCTGGATATTATGATTCTATACAGACAAATGTGGGGGTCGGTGGATTTTCAAACACTGCAAGATGCAACTGACAAGCGTGAAACTAACACTAACTTGGTGAATCAGTTAACGGATTTGATGCAACCCCAAAGAAACCGTCATTTTGCGAATAGCCATTGAATGTAGAAGTGACATAATTTCAATTGATAAGAACATGTTTTCATTGTTAAAGAATCCAATAACTTGTTGTAGATGCAATGATTACGGAGTGCATTAGTCGCAGGTATAACACAAGTCACAATATGTGGGGTGGGGAAATAGCGGAGGTCTGCGCTCTCCGAGAACTTTCTAATTTAAAAGTCGTTATTACGAGTACAAAAATGGCTATAAAGTCGCCATGTTTAATAATGCACGAGTTTAGTTCAACCTCTCCAATATTTACAAACTGAGTGACTGAGTGAATGTCAAATACGACTGCCTTGTCTGACTAACAGAACCGCACTTTCACTTTCTATTGTCTAGTCACGTTCAACCGATCGTGTAAATATATATATATATATGTTTAGGGTTTTGTTTCTATAGTTTACTTACGGGTGGTCGAGGTTACACAGAACAGCACTTGAGTGACCTCGGGTTCCCAAGAGCTGGCTGCTGGGCCTGGCGGCCACTAGGACAATCGGTCAGAAAATGTATCTCCCAATAGCCTCGAGTGGCGTTATGTGGAATACATTATGCACACAATGATAATGCTGAAAATTTGTTGGGCAATCTTTAAAAATAGATTTCAGTTTGAGAACTCATTTTTTTAGTTTTTTTTATTTAAGTAGCAATCTGGCCTACCCGGATCGTTGTGATTGAACTTGAAATACAGTCTCTTTCTTTAACTTCCGCAGCCCAAGATCGGTTGCTTTTCCAAGAAATTGGTGAGTTGCTTTCATAACTCGTAGCATTTAGGTTATGCATGGTGTTATTTCGCCTTCACCTTACACTTTCGCATAGAGCCCGTCAAACGGTGATGTTTGTTTAACAGTACATACATACAGCAAAGTAAAATTAATAAAAATGGACCAATTTACGACCATTTCTCTTTAAATAAGTTACTATTATTGGCATGATATTATTGTATTTCTAGCACGGCACGAATATATTATGGCACGAATATATAATAACTAATTGTATATACACAAACTCTTGAGTTACAGTAACACTGACAACGTTGAATCGTACTACAATACAATGCATTATATAATACAAAATGGCAATGCAACTGCAATGCGCATTTCAAATACGACAGGAAAGGTAAGAGAAAATCCTATCGTTTTTCACCGGAGATTCATTTATACTAAAATTCTTGTTTGCTTCACTTTTCACGAGTAAGTACATAAATGTTACGAAGTTCACATAATGCAGCACTTCTACCCTCGAATCAATACTACCAAAACTATATCAATCGCATATGAACTAGTTGGCGATATAGTGTTCTCCCATATAGACAATATAGCTTCACGAGCGCCATCCCATGTTCTCGACCCCTGTAAGCGATACGTATACGGGGTCTGAGGTCCATACCAGCACGCAATAGCTAACCGAGGATCAGAAATACACATTTTCCAGAATGATGGGTTTGCATTAAGTTCCTCGGCAAGTTCATCTTGATAAGAAAACACATTTATCTGCAAATAGTTACAAGATTATTTACTAATAAATGTACTTTTCCATTATTAACTGTAGTAACATTATTAACGTGCCTTACGGTACATTCTCATATATTTGCATCTTTCCTCGATGTCAACACGCATTGTATCCTCGGTTGGTAGCTTGGCACGCCGAATAAACACGTTGACGGCCCACCTGGCCTGCAGTTCAATGGTTGAAAAAATAGGGCCATCTGGATTGAACATGCCAATTAGGACCATTCTGTCTGGTTGTTGTTGCACAGCAACTGGAAACAGCAGTTTGTAAAGCTGCAAATTATCCGACTTATCTATTCATTGTAATATATATATACAAATAAGAAATAGTAAAATATTACGTCAGGCATTGATAAATGAATATATTATTCGTTGTCGCGTGACGATTAATGTTGAAATGAGTGTCACCGAAGTTGCATATGGTTGTACAATTTTACATTCAATTTATTACAAATTTGCTGTTCATTGTATAATTTGAATAATCTGTTCATTATTTCTTCTCTCTTCTTCAGAAACCAACTTATGAAATACTATTCCGTGCAGATTTGTACAATGTCAGTGACCGGTAGGTTTTGCTATACTAATATTACATGATGGATCTACATTGGTAACTGTAATTTGAATGTAGAACAAGAATTGATAAAAACAGTTATAATATCGAAATTATGCATGAATATGATTTATGAAAAGGTAATCAGACAAGGAAAAGACAGACATGACCTGTAACATATATAGTATAGTTATGTTTAGATAGTTATGTTTAGATAGTTTTTGCTAAAATGGATAATGTTTGATATCAATGAAACTACATGTTCTACTCCGTTCTCATTTGTCGATCACCTAGCCACCAAATCAAATTAAATTGCAATAAACATATATTTATAAACCGCCACGGTTGAAAAACTTGTGCCACACACGACCAACCATAACTATGGATTGGTCCATGGTGTCATATTGTTAGGATATTTCAAAACTATTGATTAGAAAGTGCTTTCATAGACTGGTCATGGAATGTGTATAAAACACACTAACGTTAATAACTAAGTAAATGGGTTAGTTTCCAGAAACAATTGTAATAACAAAAATGCAATACAAAGTTAAAATATTGTAGTCGTTACGCTACAATGTTTGTTAGGTTATCAGAGTCAATTAAAAGGTAACTAATTTATTTTGAGATTCTTACCAAACACCAGGCTGTTTTTGAGAAATGGAAAAGCCATTTTATAACCAGTGGCAAAGACCACGGCGTCTATATCACTTAGAGTTGACCCGTCTGTGAGCGTTACACAGTTTGCCTCAAATCGCTCAATTCCTGTCAAAGATACTAGTTTTCCTTGCATGATTCGATGTTGTATGTCATCATTTATCATGACTGACGATGTGGAATTTAGCGGTTCCAATGGCTTAGAAATATTTTTGAATTCACATATCCTTATATGGTAGAATGAAAATACCGCAAAATTAACGGCACGCTGTTACTTATGGCGTTACGCTGACAGATGTATAATAAATATATATGTGCCAACTTACCTGTAAACCTACGATTTTGTAGTCTTTGATGTACTGTTTACTAATTTTTGCTTTGTCAACTACTGATCTCGAAAACCACAAATCATCTGGTATGCAATGCACTCCAATACGAGGAATCACCCAGGTACCGTGTCGCATACTTAAAAATACCTATTCAGGAAGTATACATCGGTGTAAAAACACATATGTCTTCTGCATGACCTCTAAAAGTCATACATCATGGTTATTTTTGTTGTATGGATACCATGTACCAGCAACAAGTTTTTGCCATGTTTCATTTTTTTAAGGTTCAACGCATGTGTTGTTTTGTTATTTTGGTTGTTCCACTTAAACCAAACACATCACATGCACATAGACGTTCGAACAGAATGAGAAGATTCTAAAAAAAGGTTTTTGGTTTATCTATCGGTTTGCTATGTTATCAAAGAAGGGGGTAAAATAAGTAGATGGAGTACCCATAACTTCTACATATGACAGACATGTGCCCCATGCAAATAGCAAGTGGACGTGTGTAAAAAAAAAAAACTTGATGTCGAGAGAATTAACAATACTGATTCATACATATGCGATTTTATAAAACAGACAATTATTAACTGATATTTGACCCGTTGTTGAACTCACAATTATGGTTTCAAAAGTATAATGTTCTTGCTATTCTCAGATTTCTGGGGATATATTACATAATATGAACATACCGACATGTATTACATAGAACAAACTTGATATATGATATAACAATGTGTATTAAGGTCATCGTACCTGTATAGAATCATCTTTCGCGAGTTCACAAGCAACTTCACCAGCGGTAGAGGCAGCACCTGACGATTAATAAAGTTGAGGTGTGTCTGAGAGGAATTACTTCTCTTGTAAAATTGGGTAATAAAACGCAACTATTGCATGTGCAAATTTATATCAAATGTTTTTTTTTTCTGGAACCGATTTTACATATATGTGATTATATTTCGTTGATGCGGTGATTGGAATAATATTATTGGGTTATTTTGTAATTTTCATATTGATTGCGACGTCGTGCGATCGAGTTCATATTTAACTGTTTCCATGTACACAGTGATACTGCGCTAAATCAACACTAACTACTTGTGCGCTCAGGGGCAAGAACTGTTGATAAGTCATCCCACATGATGTGACGAATAACCTCTTTAGCACACATGCAACAGGTCATGTGAAGCGTTAAAACTAATTTAAAAGTAAGACCTATTTAACTATGGTTTTTGGTACGAGGGACATGATGACGGAAGAAGCAAAAACAAATCTCATGGCCCAAGTGCATTTAAGGTTTATAGCTTTTTATAGTGTACAATAATTATAATCTTCCATATACTCACCAACAACTAGAAATCTTTTGCTTTTAACTTTACTTGAATCACGATACTCATTGCAATGTATCTTAATTCCATCAAAGGTCTCTAATCCAGGGTATGACGGGAAGTGTGGTTTACTAAACACACATGTACACACCATCACATAATCAAATACTTCTTCAGTCTTTCCAATAGCGCCATTTGAAATTGTCACCGACCAACCACAATCGCTGTTCGCTTCTATCCTTACTACATCAGCGTTAAATGTAATGTATTTTTTCAGAGCAAAATTTCAGCGTAACTGTGCAAGTACTCATGTACTCTCAGACGTGACAGGAAAGGTGGCCACTCCTTTGGAAACGGAAAGTCGGAGAAGCATGACATTTCTTTGCTCCGATTGGTAACTACCGAGTCATATGTGGCAGCTGCTTGGCCTTTGCGTAGTTGTTCTGTGTAGTACCAAATACCACCTATATGATATATTACAAATATATTAATACCCAGTGCATTGAGTACATATATTTGTTTCTTTATTACCATGCATACAGATTGTTTGAATATAACACCACCTGACCGACACACTGGTTGTTCCTTTCACGCAATTCGTTATTATAACGTCACCAACTGGCCATCTTCTAAGAGTACTAAACCATAGCTTGTTTGGTAACTAAGCAACATAGTTTTGTGACAATTGTTGAAAAAATGGCCACAGTCTGAATGTGTTCTATATAGTATACCACTAGTTATTTGTCTCGCGTTTTTCTCTAAACTTAATTTGACAACGCACAAAATTCGTTTCTTAATTGAACTCATATAATACTGCTTGCATATTTACTTTTCAGTGCTGCTGATAGACTGCTGATAAAACTGTCCTAAAATTTGTGATTCTATAAAGTGCACTGATGACTGATGTGATACGCTGCTCCATCAATATTTGTTAAGGAACGGCGTTTCTATTTAGAAATCTGCAAATGACGCCCAAGACGCGTACACACACACGCAAAATATGATTTTAATATTTACCGAAAAACAACTCGAAATGCGTAGGTGTAATGAATAGATTATCAAATTTCGTGATTCCTGATATCGGATAGAAACACATTTACCCCCATATTCCAAGTAAGGCCATTCACCAGGCGTGTCACCTATTACCAGTTCAGCTTATTCAAGTTTCTGGTTCCCATTTATACAACACGAACTTAAACAGTTATTTAGTATTTATTCTAGTTTATTGTATTGCATTTTTTTTTACAGTTTCTGGCGAAGCCTTATTTCTGAGGCAAAACGATGAATTAAAAATTCATTTGTTTAGAAATGTCATACCCGTATATTTACCAGTCATACACCTCACAAATAATTACATTCACGTCCATATACATAACGTTTAAATTGAATTTCGCATTTTCAACACAATCTAGCAACTGGACAATTATTGTATCTCAATTAATTCCAATGAAACTAAAAATACTCCCGTCATGCTTTCATATTAAATTGTCAGATAACAGGGTGGGAATAACATGCTGCAATGTTTGGATAATTATGTTATATAATAATAATGTTATAAATAATTTAACCATGCTCTCTGATCTTACCTATGTCATCGTGTCTCTTGAAACAAACCGGTTCAAGACCTTCCTCGAGGCAGCTTTTTATTGAGACCAATCCAGCTACTCCAGCACCAATAATCGCAACGCGTTTACCAGACATCCTTATAACAGGTGTGAACTACGGTTAGGTTGTAGTCTGTTCGAATTAATCTTTTAACAATTTCAGCACAATCAGCGCACTAGGGTGTTTGCGTTATGCAAATTGACTGGAACTACGAATTATTCAAGCAATGCATTGGAATTGGCTTACAATCGGCGGTGTAATTTTACATATTATTCATTTCGTTTATGTTATATTTAAAATATAGCTTTTGGTTTTT